AAGAAAAGAAAAGGAAAAAAAAAAGGAAAAAAAAAAGAAACTAAACCCCCAAGGTAAAAACCAAATGCCAGCAACCAGAAGGTGCCTGGGCTGCCTGAGCCTTGTCCTGCCATGAGCTGCCCCTCCTCAGTTCGCAGCTGGGCTGTCCTTGCCCGGGCTCTGCTCCTGGCTGCTCCCTCTGCAGCCACCTCGGGGGGCTCTCCTCTTCACCTCCCTCTTGCAGCTGGGGGGCCACACGGCCAGGACCTGGCTCTGGGGGGTGGCACAGGGGTCCCCAGGGAGGCAGCAGGGCTGGCTACATGCGGGAGGACGGGCTGGCCAGCTCGTAGAAGAGCAGGTAGGCGTCGCTGCTGCGGACGTGGCTGGACGACATCGGGGTGACACTGCGGAGAGGGCAGGAGAGCTGTGAGAAACAGGGGTGGGGCACCAGGATTCCCCGAGCAGGGGTTCCCTGCTGGCCCTGCCCCATCCCACAGCAGCCTCACCGGGAGTCGTTGAAGCTGTGCCACTCGCTGGACACGGGGCTCTTGCAGTAGGCTGTGTAGTGTCCCCCCATGGTGGTGCCCGAGTGGTTGGAGACGGCGTAGAGGTTGTAAACGGCGTGATCTGTGGGGGACAAAGGTGCTGCTCAGCCCCGCTGCCCCCCAGCATGCCAGCACGGGGCTGGATCCCCTGCATTCTGTGGCTCCCACCCCTCAAACCCCTGTCCCCCGCCACAACTGTGACACCCAGGGGAGCACGAGGAACACGGGAGTCACCAGAAGCTCAGGGCTGTGCTGGAGCCAGGCAGGGACTGGGACTCACTGCAGCTCTGCGAGGCGAACTCCCGGAGGTCCAGGTCCTTCAGCTGGAAGTTGACGAAGGTGGTGAGTTTGCTGCTTCGTATCCTGCTCTCGGAGAAGCGCTTCAGGTCTGGGGGGCGTCATGTCAAGGAGCCAAGGGACAAAGGGGGGCCCGTAAGAAACCACCTACCACCACCCCCAGCACTCCCTCCACCCCCATCCCTCTGCCCAAAGGATACGAAGCACCAGGATCTTGGGGAACTTCTGGATGCTGAATTTCTTCGTGCACCTCGTCCTGGCTTTGCAGCGACAACACGTCTGTGGGAGACAAACAGCACAAGCAGGAGGGTGAGGGCAGAGGCCAGTCCCCCCTGTGCCCAC